TCTGTTCTGACAAATTACAATTTCTCCACTAATATAATTAGCCTATTTTACATCACTTAAAATGAGAGAGACTGGCTGGGCAGGTGGTTCAGTGGTAGAGTGCTTGCCTTGCATGAATAAGTCCCTGGGTTTGATTCCTCGGAACCACATAAGTAGAAAAAGCTGGCAGTGCACTGTGGCTCAAGTGGTAGAGTGCTAGCTGTGAGTTTAGGAACTGAGGAACAGTTCCCAGGCTCAGAGTTCAGGCCCCACGACAGACAAGAGAGAGAAAGAGAGAGAGAGACAGAGAGAGAGAGAGAGAGAGAGAGAGAGAGAGAGAGAGAGAGAGACTTCCTATATATGCATTCCAAATCAATTCTTAAAATATTTGAATACAATACAATGACCTTGCTATGTGTGTGCTTGTCCTGACTCTTGAACTCAAGGTCTTGAAAATGACCATGAAATTATTTGGTTCAATGATAATGTTGTACCACTTAAGCCACATCTCCACTTCCAGCTACTTTGGCTATTTTATTGGAGATAAGTCTCTCAGACATCCTTGTAGCCATGACTTCAATTTGTGATCCTTTTGGGTTCCTTTATGTCAATCCCAGGGGACCACAAGCAGGCACAGGAGAAAGATTCTTATAAGGTTTACTAGAAGGACCATATTTCCCAGGAGAGGAAGACATGCATTTGTCTCTCTTCAGGTAGCAACAGGAGTGGGTGGGAGAGGGTGGGTGGGGATGGGGGGGAGAGACAAGAAGTTAGGTAGGTACATGCTCAGGTAGGTGTGGGTAGAGAGAGGGAGTGTTCAGTAGTATGAGGGAACTCTAGATCTAGGACCAGCTCAGGCTTGGGTGGAGTTGAGGAGCAAGGGTGGGGATAATACTAACTTTCCTCAGATTTCAGCCTTCTAAGTAGCTAAGATTATAGATATTTTCATGAGAGGCCAGTTACAATGTCCTCTTTTAAATTCAGATTATATTCTAATAAAATAATATGAAATAGAAAATTTGAAAATTTTAAGGCTGGATGTTCAGTCACTAATGTGGATGAGGACAGTGCAAATCCCAAAACAAACAGAAAATACCACACTTTGAAATTTGTAACACGCCTCATCTTAAATATTGTGAATGTGAACACTTAGCCTATAATAAATTCACTTTAAGTTTTTCAAAGTAAGAAAACATTCTTGTGATGTAGAAAAACCAAGGACTAATGTGCAAACACTGCTTTTAAAGGATTCATATTGTGTTTCCTATAAGAAAAAACAACCTCACTGAAGTAAACAGAATAGATTTTTCCCTTTTTGTAAATGTCACTGCAAAGTTCATGTATTTTATATTAACAATTATCATTGTGGGTAAGTGGAGAAAAAAACCAGAACGCTAGATAATAGAATTTCCTCTGTCATCAACCAACAAGTATAAGCAAAAGTACATACCTATATAAGTTGTTTCTTTTACATTTTATGGATCTACATTTCTGAGTGTATTTTCTGTTAATGTTGTTTAGTAACACATAAGACCTCACTCTTCTGTGGATTTGTCTTTACTGGAGACTTTAATGCTCTACTTGATTCAGGAATGTTTCTTCTCCCATAAGAAGGCTTTATGCTTTTCCAGCCCACATCTCATGCTCTGACCAGGAACTTCTAGGGTAAAATCACACAGGTTCCTTTCTGACTCTCTCATTTGGCTTCTCTCCAAGCCATGGTTCCAGAATTTTTATTCATTGTCAACAGCAAGAAAGAATGAAAGGATCTCTGATGAGATTCTTTCATTTCTCACTCTTTTTGGCATTCCATTTTATGAACCTAATTGTGTCCCAGTTTGAAGAACAGGAAAAAAAAAACATTCAGCTTCAGGAACATGTTTCTAAAAAAAGCTAAAGATGGCTTGGATTTAGCCGATTATCAAATCTTGCCTTCTAAGTTAAGTGCAGATTTGCTTTAGTTTATTTATTTATTTTTTTTTTGGAGGGGGATCCTGTCGTGGGTCCTGTACTATGGGCCTGGGCGCTGTCCCTCAGCTCAAGGCTAGCACTCTACCACTTGAGCCACAGCGCCACTTCCGGCTTTTTTCTTTTTGTTTATGTGGTGCTGAGGAATCGAACCCAGGGCCTCATGCATGCAAGGCAAGCTCTCTAACACTGAGCCACCTTCCCAGCTACTGTTTCTCATTTTTTAATGTCAGGACAAAGTTGTCCCACTTGTTATGTGATTCAATGACACCTAGGAGGTAACTTCTCATGGAAGGTAAAGGTTGGCTAGAAACTGGTCAGACATCACATTCTCATACATAACATTAGACTATCCTAATGATGTTTTACTGGAGTTGGTGACATAGTGTGGTCAAACATAACTTTGACTATTGTACAGGACTGTGTTATAATTACTTCAATTGTCTCTGTAAATACTCTTGGACTGCTTTGTGGTATTTGTCTTTCTTGAAACTTAGGCTGTATTTGATGGTATTTATAGAAATCTGTTTTTCTCTAAGGTACGTACAAGTGTAGAAGTGCTGGACCATATTTCTATGTAATTCTAAATTTAGTTCTTTTTAGGACTCTTTGTCCCATCTTTGATAGTTTTACATACCAGAGAGAAATGCACCAAGATTCACATTGTTGGCACATCTTTCCTACCTTTTGTTAGACTTTGGAAGGATTTTTGTTGTTTTGTTTAAAACTATGGCCATACTAATATGTGTAAAATAGTTATTTTATAGTAATTTTGATTTGAATTTTTCTCATGACTATTGATACTTTTATATTTTAATCAGCTATTTTTGTATGTCCTTTTTAGAAAATTCTCTTCAATCTTTTTTCCCATTTTAAAATTCGATTTTTTGTGTGGGTTTCTTAATAGGATTTTCTTTATATTTTCTAATTCAGATTTGTTAGGAAGTTATATAAAAACATATGCAAATATTTTCTCCTACCATTCGTTTGCTTCTTCGTTGATAGTACTTTTCAGTAGACAAGGTTTTCATTGTATGCACTTAATCTTGTTTAGTTTTGGATTTATTTTTTAATTTTTATTCATTCATTTATTTTAGGGTTTTTTGGTTTTTTATTTTTGTTTTTGTTTTTGGTCAGTTGTGAGGCCTGAACTCTGGGCCTGGGTGATATCCCTCAGCTCTTCTGTTCAAGGCTAGCACTCTACCATTTAAACCACAGCACCTCATGCATGCAAGGCGAGCACTCTACCACTGGACCACCTTCCCATCCCTGATTCATTTATTTATTTATTGTCAGTCATGGGGTTTAAACTCTGGGTCTGAGCTTGTCCCTCAGCCCATCAGTTCAAGGCCAGCACTCTACCACTTGGGACACTGCTCCACTTCTGATTTTTTGGTGCTTCATTGGAGATAAGAGTTCACAAGTTTTCCTTACCAGGCTGGCTTTGAACCATGATCCTCAGATCTCACCCACCTGAGTAGTTAGGCTTACAGGCGTAAACCACCAGAGCCTGGCATTTGTTTGTTTGTTTGTTTCTTTGTTGCATGAGTCACTTTTGGTGTCCTATTTAAGGATTTACTGTCAAATCTAATGCCATAAGGCTTTCTTCCTCTCCTGTATTCTCCTCCTCCTTTCCCTTTCCCTCTTTTTCCCTTCTCTCCACTACTCTCTTGTCTCCTCTTCTTCCATCTTTTCCCTGACCTTTGGATTCCCTTCTCTCGCTCCTCCACTCATATTCTTTTCTCTTTTTGTCTGAGATGTAGACTTTCGAGTTTTCACAACAATTAGGTTTCTAACTTAGAAACACATATAATACACATACCTCAGACTACACCATGGTTTTCTTGAGCTACTATTGGAGCTTGAACTCCAGGTCTCACAGACAGTCAGCTTCCTCACTCACTGTACAAATAGGAATGCCAAGGGCACAGGTGCCTCCCAATCCCATTTCTTTACTAGGCCTCTGTAGATAAGCAGAAGGGTTGGGCTGGGAAGGTGGCTCAGTGTTAGAGTGCTTGTCATGCATGCATGAGGCCCTGGGTTCGATTCCCCAGCACCACGTAAGCAAAAAGAAAAAAAAAGCTGGAAGTAGTGCTGTGGCTCAAGTGAAGAGTGCAAGCCTTGAGCTAAAGAGCTGAGGGACAGCACCCAGGCCCAGAGTTCAGACCACAAGCCTAGCCCCTCCTCCCCCCAAAAAGCACAAGGGTGAACAGTGTGATGGAAGGGGTTAAGTGAGCAACTAGCTAAATCTTGCAATGTGAAGTCCACTGTCCTTATCTTGTAAATGGAATCATAGGAAGGATTTAAAGATTCTTTTTTTCTATTGTGAAAATACTGTAAAGAGGAGTTTTTATTTTTAACTATTGTAATAAATACTGAAATTGTTGAAGCCACAGGAAGCCTGAGGTGAAGCACTGTTCTCAGAGAGATTTCTTCAGATACCTGTACAGATGGGACTTCAGGCAAAATGTTTTCTATACTCATAATTTCTTTCCTGTCTCTGTTCTCACATATGCTGAGGACTCAGTTCTGATTGAAAGACATTTCACGTATGTTCTATGCACTACTTTCTTTTCTCCTATGTGAGTCAGTTCTCTGATGAACATGAGGTATTCCTTTCTGATCAAAGGATTTCCACATTTGAAATATTTTTAAGATTAATCCACTGTGTGTGTCCTATGAACTTGGATTCATGAACAATTGGTAAAGGACTTTCCACAATTGTTACATTTGTATTTTCTCACTTGTGTCTGTTCTCTTATTCAAACTGTTAGGTCTTTTCCTTGAAAACCTTTCCATTTATTTTTCCTACATAGGATTTCTCTCCTCTTTGTGTGTGAGGGTGTGTGTGTGTGTGTGTGTGTGTGTCTGTGTCTCTGTGTTTTGTGTGTTCTGTGACGAACCCTGAGCTGTGTCTTGTGGTTGGAGGACTCCACATCTGCTATATCATAAGGTCCCTATCCTGTATTGGTTCTGTATTGCAATTTCAATTTTCTTACAGATCAACGACTTTCCCATTTGGCTCAATCCTAAGTTATTTCATTTGTGTGAATCAACTTATGTGTGTTAAGCTGTGACCTCCAGGTCTTTCTACACTGGTTGCATTCATAAGGTTTCTCTCCTGTGTGTGTGCTCCAGTGGACAGTAAAGTGTATATTCTGGGTGAAAGACTTTCCACACACGTTACATTCATAAGATTTCTTTCCTGTGTGCTTTCTCTGGTGGACAGTAAGGTTTGAATTCTGGGTGAAAGACTTTCCACACACGTTATATTCATAAGGTTTCTTTCCTGTGTGTATACTCTGATGGACAGTGAGAGTTGACTTCTGGGTGAAAGAGTTTCCACACAAGCTACATTCATAAGGTTTCTTTCCTGTGTGTGTTCTCGGGTGGACAGTGAGGTTTGACTTCTTGGTGAAAGACTTTCCACACATGTTACATTCATAAGGTTTCTCTCCAATGTGTGTTCTCTGGGGGACAGTTAAGTGTAGCTTCTGGGTGAAAGACTTTCCACACACATTACATTCATAAGGTTTCTCGCCTGTGTGTCTTCTCTGGTGGACAGTAAGTGGTGACTTCTGGGTGAAAGACTTTCCACACATGTTACATTCATAAGGTTTCTTTCCTGTGTGTCTTCTCTGATGGACAGTGAGTGTTGACTTCTGGGTGAAAGACTTTCCACACATGTTACATTCATAAGGTTTCTTTCCTGTGTGTGTTCTCCGGTGGATAGTAAGGTGAGAATCTGGGTGAAAGACTTTCCACACATATTACATTCATAAGGTTTCTCTCCTGTGTGTGTTCTGTGGTGGTCAGTAAGATATGACTTGCAGGTGAAAGATTTTCTACAAATGTTACATTCATAAGGTTTCTCTCTAATACGTGTTCTCTCGTGGATAGTAAGGCATGCCTTCTTGGCAAAAGACTTTCCACACACGTTACATTCATAAAGATTCTTTGCTGTGTGTGTTCTCTGGTGGATAGTGAGGTTTGACTTCCAGGTGAAAGACTGTCCACACAGGTTACATTCATAAGGTTTCTTTCCTGTGTGTGTTCTTTGGTGGAAAGTAAGGTTTGACTTCGAGGTAAAAGACATTTCACACGTGTTACATTCAAAAGGTTTCTCATCTGTGTGTCTTCTCTGGTGGACAGTAAGGTATGCCTTACTGGTGAAAATCTTTCCACACATTTTACTTTCATATGCTTTCTCTCCTGTGTGTGTTCTCTGAGGGACAATAGGGTGTGTCTTCTCAGTGAAAGTCCTTTCACATTGTTTATATTCTTCAACTACAGAAGACACAGGAGGACTATATACAGCATACAGCTTACCAGGCTCACTGAAAACACTCATGTTCTGACACCCAGTGACCTTTTCTGTCCTCATCCCTAAGGAGTTCCCATTATTCTTAATCAGTTCTGACTTCTGTTTTGAGCTCAAATTAAAACTTCTTATAAGTCTCACTTTTTCCTCCCCTGGGTTGCTATTCATGACTGCTACTTCAGAGAGATATTTAATGTGACTTTTCTGACAGGTGCTAATCACATCCTCCATTTCTTGGACATCTAAAATGCATAACAGAAAAATAGACAAAAACATAAATGAGATCCATAAATTCCTTACTGTAAAGGTATTTTCTCACATTTTAACTGTTACAAGTTTTTCAAATAACAAAGCATTGTTTTATGCAGAATATAAACTTTTCTCTGCAAGGTACTAACTATGAATGTAATACTGACATTTTACAATGGAAAACAATGTTTTCCATAATCTGTATTTCAGATTTTTCTATTTTTTTCTAGGAAATATTTACTGAAATTATTATTAATGGTTACATTCTGAATCTCACTCTATGCCAAGCACAACTCATAAGCTATTGTCCTGATCAGAAAATAGCAGCACTACCATTCTCCTATTTTCCTCCTATCTGCATAATACTAGTTTAAAAGAAAATGAGATCTCCTTTTGTACATTTCTTATTGTCTTTTTCTCTTAAAGAATGACTTCTCCACAGACAAAGAGAATTGCTAACATTAACTACACTGGCACACCAAATTCTGTTTGTCTCCACTTGAATTCTGGATTGACAATTCCTTGATACAAAGGATCACCTAGTTCTCTCCCACACATGACTCAAGGGCACTAGAAATACTATCGCTCTGTACAGCTCAAGATAAGCAGACCAACTGGGCTCTGAACCTATCATCACCGTTCAAGATGCTTGAACTCACCTGTAAAATTCTTGTCTGAGGCTTCTCTTATCCGTGGATCTGCACCTTGCTCCAGCATTACAATCAATTTAGGTTTAGGAACATAGAGCCCTGTGATTAAGAAATAGTGGAGAATTATTGCTCTTGCTCGGTCATCATTAATGTAAGTTCGCAGACATCCTGTTCACAAGGTTGCTCCTAAATCTGGTTTCTCAATTGTTCGGGGCGGGGGGGCGGGGGGATTGATGGGTCCGGTTGTGGGCCTGAACTCTGGGCCTGGGCGCTGTCCAGCTGATCTTCAGCTCAAGGCTAGCACTGTGTCCCATGAGCCAAAACGCCAATTGCGGCTTTTTTTATTTTCTGATTATGTGGTGCTGAGGAATCAAACACAGGGCTTCATGCATGGAAGGCAATTCCTCTACCACTTAGCCACCTTCCAAGCCCATGGTTTCTCAATTCTTAACAGCTCCATGGTGGAGTAGCTTCCAGCTTTGGGTTTATTTTGCCAACTGTGTGGCTTGAACTCAGCTCTTTTGCTAAAAGCTAGCACTCTACTAGTTTGTGTCTTGGCTACATTTCTAGTTTTTGAATGGTTAATTGGAGATAAGAGTTTCATGGTCATTTTTCTACAGTTGCTGGTTTCAAACTGAAACCTTCAGATGTCAGCCTCCAGAGTATCTAGGATTTGTAGCTTGGAGCACTAAACCCTGTATCAGGTTGGGCTTACAAATACACACTTTCCAGAGCATACTGTCATTAGTAATGTATGTTCTATTCTGGACTGTAGATCCACCTATAATAATTACCCAAGTCTGGGAAGTCAGTCTCCTATTAGTGGATCATAGCTTAGAACTTTTGTCCAACTACTGATTTGCCTTCTTAAAGAAGGAGAATAAAATTAGCTCTTGAGTTACATAAAATGAAGTTAAAGTTTCCCTTAGAAAAAACTGACACTTCCCATGGCCTGGAATGTTTATTTTTTCTTCAGAAAATGTAATGGTCCAAAGGCTTACACCTACATTTAGCAGGTGAGATCAGAAGAGGCAGGCTTGAAACCAACCTGGGCACAGAAAAACAGAATATACCCCAAAACAAAAGTGAAAATAGAATTGTAGCTCAAGCACTAGTGTGAAAGACAAACAACAACAAGCTCTCAGACTCAAATTTGACTGGCTTTTATACTAGCAGTTTTTTACCTGGGAATGGACTGGAATCTTCTCCCTAAATAGCATAAATAGTCTAATGTCTACTAAAATAAAAGCACTTGATCTTCCAAGTAAAAATAACCTTTGCTCACCCAAGGACATGAGATTGCTATAGGTCTCTAGCATTACATCTCTATGAAGGGTCCTCTGACCAGGATCCAGATCCTGCCACTCCTTCCAGGTGAAGTACACAGCCACATCATCAAATGACATCAGCTTCTGTAATGGCACATTTCCATCAAGAAATTAGACCTGGGTTATGAGAATTCCAACCTGGAATTTCATTATGCTGCAGGTATGCTTTTGTCTTACATAAAATGTTGGCAGCTAGCTTTGTTATTTATTCACTGGGAGAATTAAATACCAAACTAGAAATATTTGACAATACATAAACCTGGTCATTAAAATACACAGATTTGCAGGGCGCTGGTGGCTTATGCCTGTAATCCTAGCTATTCAGGAGGCTGAGGTCTGAGGATCAAGGTTCAAGGCCAGCCTAGGCAGGAAAGTCCATGAGACACTTATCTCCAATAAACCACCAGAAAATGAAAATAGCACTGTGACTCAAGTGGTAGAGCACTCACCTTGACCTGAAGAGCTGAGGGAAAACAAACAGACCCAGAATTCAAGCCCCAAGACCAATCAAAAATTACAGTTTCTATAATGTATGAAAACACATTTCTGCTGCTAGCAGTAGAGACAAGATAAAAACTCTAAGGAGACAATAATCTGGCATGATGACATTAAGTCTAAGGAGGTGTCTGAAAAATTATATTATCATTTTTGATAAAATTTCAATACATACCAGGGTAAATATGAATTAAAAAAATATTTTTCCTGCATTTACACATACTGCTTCAGCATAAATCCTATTTAGACCTTCTATTAACAAGTACTCTCAAAAGCAATCAGCACCCATTCAGGATATCACATGGAATACAGAACATAGAACATTGCTAGATATGAAAAGCAATGTCCACATGAATATTAAAAAATAACAGTAACAGTACTCCAGAAAGTAACTAATGATGGATTAGGCCCTTATAAGATTTAATTGAGTTCCCACATAAAAATATGCCTGGTTTACCATGTTTGGTTTAAATACTAAATATTGAAATGTGGTCATAAATACCCTGATATTTCCTTCCTATGTAAAAAAGAACTGCTACCATGAAATTTTGTAAACTTTGCCTACATTCTATAATACAAAATATAGGTGCAGGGAAAAAAATGTTCCTTGACAAGGTTTTCATTTTAATAGGCCTTCATGGAAGGTGAAGGCCAATATAGAGAGGCTCAATGAACATTCAAGATGACAAAAATGATAAATATGACCAAATGTTCAAATGTATTACATATTCCTGAGTTGTTTCTCCAGTAGATCTCTAAGGATATATTTTCACTTCTGTTAGTTAATAGTGAAATTCCTCAGAGATCAAAATCAATTAGTGAGCAAACATCTGTGAGATTTTGGGACAAGTGATATTTCTAATAGAGAACATCTCAACACTGCATTATTTTTTTTCAACATTAGTTCCAATCTTATACTGGCAGTGAATTAAAATATTCAAAAGTAGTGGGAAGGAAAAACAAAACTGAATACCACATCAAATGAAGTTAGACCAACACAAAATCAGAAGAAAACAGATTTTCTTGTAGTGTACCAATTGATAGAAGGAAGTACTTTTCTGTAGGGAACTCTGAAGTTGAGTTGAAGGGGGAAAGGTTTGAGAGGTTGGAATTCCAACTTGACAGCATTGAGAGAACTAAGAGCTGGTGGCAGATGGCTTAAAGAGAATTCTGGAGAGGGTTAAGAGACTGGAGTACAGGCCTTTTCCTTACTGTTGGAAAGATAGCATCTGAAACTGAGGTGCTATTGACCTTGAAGGCTAGGTAAGGTGAACTCCATGTCTGGATTTTCTCTGGGCAAGAGTCTTCTGTCTCAGGAGAATAAGGAAACATGTTTTCCTCACAAACTGTTGTGGCTCTGATTGTACTATTAATATAGATACTTCATTTTTGCATGTTATTAATGGTAATCTTCCCTGTGTGCACTCAAGGAACTATGCTTGCTTGCTGTTGCTCAGGGACAAAGTGCCAGACAGCATTCAGAACCCTGGTTTCCTCTAAGTCTATCTGTTTATGTTTTTGTGTTTCTCTAATTTTTGCTTGTGGAATCCTGTAGAACTCTCTAGGCAACAATTTTCCTATACTATGGGTAAGAAAAATGTCAATCCTAAGAGCCATATCAGCAACGTAAAACTGATCACTAAGAAAACCTTGTTCCAGATAGATCATTTGAAGAAAAGAAACAACTGAGACACATATGGAGGAAAGAGGAAATGAAAAGAGAAAAAAATGATAGAAAGATAGATACAAAGAGAGAGAAAGAGAAAAATAACCAACACTAGCGGGTAGAAAATCAAAAATTGAGAGAGAAAATAGAGGAAAGAAATCTTGTGAGAATACTTTAGAGAACAAACAGGAATTTGTAGAAAGACCATAAAGCTTAGCAACAAATACAGGCAAAGTTTCAAGTAAGACCAAGACCATGAAGCAGTCCAAGAACTATATATGGAGAGTAATT